AGTGTAATACAAAAAAAAAAAAATTGTATTTGGTAATAATAGTTTAATTAACAGTAATAAATATCAATATATATGAGGCTTATCAAATTGTAAAGAGTAGAATGAGTAGCATTTTTTGAATTTTTTCGATCTACGAAATACAAATATCACGTCTATAATCGTTTTAATTTTATAGTTATGCAAAAGTAGTTATTTACGAATTACGATAGTCATAAACTCACAAGTATGATATTTAATATAATGTATTAAAAAAAAATATCTCTTACAAAAATAATAGGTTTTTATTTCTTAAATAAATATTTTCCGTTGGGTTCACTTATAAATTCACTAATTTTGGTCGTTATTTTTCACCAGGTCTTAGGTTGTGTACTTTTTTTTATGTTTTTTATCATTAAAGGATCACCGTAATATTTCAGTTAAAACAACTAATTTATACCGCAAAATACAAATGCAATGTTCGAACCGGTTTCTTCCTCGGGGGCACGCGCGTCGTCAGCAGCTGCCGCCCCCGCCACACCGATATTATCATAATTAAGCACATGAATTAAACATAGGTGTATTAAGCTAACGCATGTTCCCACTGTAAAAAAATAAAAGTATAGAGACAGTTTCTGCTTATCAACGGCAGATCAAGAAGCACCACCAAATTTAATGACATGACGTACAATTATTACTCGTCCTAAACCATTATATAAGTACATAAATATATTGGAAGGTACCTCCTACATATAGGCACCTCCCACAACAGTACAACAATAGCAAAATAAAAAATTTTCATAATCCCACGAATACGTTATACCTATTATCTGCACGTAATATTTCTACATAACGATAAAATTGTTATTATTTATATTAACTATATAGACGAAGGATATCTAATTCTATGATTTTAGAACTCTTGAGCTGTAGTATATTTGAATTATCCTTTATAGAAATATTTCTATATCTCGAAATTTAGTGGATCTACTGCTCTGATAGTACTTGTAAGAAATTCTAATGGTGTCTAAGTGCCCTATGGTAACCGAACATTGGTTGAGAAACACTAATTTAAATTAAAATAAGTTATATTAAAATAACATAGAGACTCGCGGAGAAGGTGAATAAAGATTCAAGGCATCTTCGGTTTCAATAATTGAAGATAAAAAAAAATTAAGTTATACATCAAAATATATTTGGTTTTAAATTGTTATTGTTTTCATTATGTAAACATCTATGATCTTAAATTTATAATAAATAATAAACACAATAATCATAAAATAGAAAACCCTTATGATATACAAAAAACCTATAGAAAATTAAACATTAACTTTTTAAGTTATGAAACAAAATTCACATTTTTTATTTATTTATTCTTCTCTCTGGAAAAAATATTTGCGGAGACCTACAATTATGAAGCAATAAACTAAAAGTAGAAACCTAATATTATTCATTATTATTTAGTAAATTTACATGTAAATATTAAGTATTTTGGAAACGATATAATTTACAATACTTAAGAAATATTTTCAATATTTTAACTTATCTGCTATAATTGTACGAAATGTTTCTAAAAATTACAATTATAGTCATGATAGAGTGATTATTTGGAGACATTTTGTAAATATATTATAAATAAATATTAATTTATAAAATGCTGAGTGTAAATTAAATCTAAAAACCCCATTTAAATACAGGGTAACATTGACAACTATTTATACCTATCTTGTAAAATATAAAAAAGTTTATTATTCATAACATATTTAATTTATTATATAAGTAAAACGTATCATAATTCATAAAATAGTCCATTACATATGTACATACAAATGTATTCGTGGACTAATCCATGCCACTTTCAAGATCACATGACTAAAATATAAATCCAGTTACTTTTAATTCAATTTTGCAATGATTACAGATAAGAAATAAAAAACCGCATACACCGGATTTGTTCACCACATACACTAGATAGCGTATTTGTTAAATGATAACTATGATTCGAATTAATAACATTACAAATTATAAAAAAAAATATATTTTTATTTCATAATGTATATGGTCATTCCTTAGTTTTCTGGAATTCAAATTTATAACAAATTTTATAGTTTTGTATAATAAATACTTCATAAGAAAATATTCTTGTATTAATACATTCATTATTGGTTTTAAATGCACAATAGTAAAATACACACATTTTATTAAACAATGTATATTTGAAGTATTTTATTTTAATTATTAATATGATATTGGTTTTCTGTGTATTATTCAACATTTCAAATAATCTACATAAAAAAAAAAAAAAAAATGGAAAATATTACTTTATTATCGTAAATTCAAATTTAAATTTAAAATTCTTAGTTCACAATAAATTATTTGCTTCAACTGTTTTTTAAAATCAATGCGATTTTGAATCTTACAAATTTTATATTCGCTGTAACTATTATGTACTCATATATTTAAATCATCGTTTTAAAATGTTTATATACTCTAATAAATTATAAAATAATAATGTAGAATAATATTATAATTATAATTTATAACTCATATGTAGATAGATTTATTTAATTAAAACTAAATTTTGTATATTGTACCAATAGGTGTGTAAAATATATGCATCAAGTTTTAATAAATCTTACTCTGATTAAAAACCGAAATTATACCTAAAGATAGTGTTTATAGTATAGGTACTACAGATTATTAGAATTTAATGATATATTCTAACAATATTATTATAACTGTAACGCGTTAATTACGGTTCACTGAATAAAAGAATTTAATCGAGTCGATGAAGATACATAAATTATCTCAAAGACTTAATTACTAAATGTTTACATCGCAATTATATGTCTACATAAAATAATATTTCTACAAAATTATATCTACATATTATTAATTAGTACGTAGTGAATCGTATATTGTAAATACTTTTAAGGTTGTCGAAACATATACTGTACAATTTTCCGAGGTTAATTTATGACACGATAATAATAATGTAGCAAACGGTATACGAACTATTTCCACGATTGCCGTTATAATATATGTATTAAATTATTCTTCATTTTTATTAATAAAGACTTTTAACTAATTCTTGAACCAGAAATGCGTATTGGATACATTGTATTGTGGAGAGTTTGGAGTGCATTATGAAGGTAAATTTATGGGTAGGTTAATTGATATATCGCTGAATATATATATATACATACAAACCTTTCGTGCGTGAAGATCCTTAAGGAAATGCAGTGTTATGTTATGCGTATATAGTGCACACATTTATGACAGGGAAAATTTATTATATATACTATATGCAGGTATATTCGGAATAGATATTTAGTGGAGGACCGCGGGGCATTTTTTGCGTAAACATTGTATTTAAAACGGGATTGTTGTAATACACTAACATTTAACATGCGCATTGTGCTATAGAAGAGCATACTTTATATTTATAACTTACCTTCGTTATGGAGATATCATTGTAATAAGGTATGTATGAAGGATGAAATGTTAACCACGCGCCATTAATTGCATCGCGCATATGCACACGCCACCGTCGCCACGATATATGAGATACGACCAATATATTAATATAATTATTGTGATTCATTAGGATCCAAATGTTAACGACTTCTGCATATCTTCCGGAATATTTAATTCGGTCAAAGCAAAAATTGAGTATGTTTAAGGCATACAAATTTAAACAAATACATTTTTATTTGAATATTTTTGCACTCCACACAAATAACAAAAATATTTTTAAAAACATATCTAGATCAATATCAGTCTCTGACTATGAAACTAATTATTCGATTAAATTATTTTTTATCCATTATACTCGTAATTATAAACTCAACTTTGCATATTATCGGTAAAAACATTAAGTTGGATTAAATAAATTAAATAAATAATTAGAAAAAAATTGAAAGCATATAATATTTTTACGATCACAAATGTATTTATTAGAAATTACATTTATAAAAAAATACTTTATAATAAGACTAGTTTCACACTAATCGTTTACTTTTTATACTCTAAAATGTTAAGTCTTAAAGGTGTTGCTTTAACTATTATTTACTTATTTTAAAACAAAAAGAACCGTTTCATTCGAGTTCTAAAAATATTAATTATATTTTGAATTTTCACGAGTTATAAACCAATATTATTGTTAATTATCACAAGCGAAAGTCAAATTAATTTCAATTTTAAAGAAAAGATTAACATTTATCTAAAAAAAGCTAAAAATCGCTATCATCAATCAAACAGCTGCCACATTCTACACTCGTCTTCACTTCAAAACGGAACATCCCCCAACAGTCTCATCGCTCAATCTAACTCCAACTACCTTCCAGGAAACCCAGTAAGATGTCTCAAACGCAAATGGCCAAGAGACCTACCCAATATTTGGTGCATACCTCTATTATGTTAAGCACTCGTGATCAGACGTTCCCAATGTGAAGTGATTTCAAGATTTTCATCATTTTTTTACATTATATAGCTAAAAACATTACTTAAGTATTGTGCACCTTAGTACAGATGGTAAATAATTATAACGAACGATTAAAAAACAAAAAAATTATCTAGAACGTACATTTCCTTGCACCGCATTGGATAGGAACTTTTGGTCACGGAAACCGCGTTTTACTCGCATCCAAAAACCGTTATTGGGTTAAAAAAAAAAGAATAGAAGTCAAAATATGCATTTATTGAGTGTAATAAATATTACCTGCAGTGTGTGTCAATGCATTTGTGTGTGTACAGTACACGCGAGTTATTAAAACCGTTGGAAATTATACCGTTCCGGTGGGGAGAGGAGGGATGAAAATATTATACATTGTAACGACCTCATCGAGTGCCACAGTCGGTGGAGGCTTTTATGGGGAGGGATAGGTGGCTGGTCGAGAAAAGGAAATAAAAAAACCGAATAGCAGCACGCGCGTGTGAGCACGTATTTAAGCGTGTAAGAGATAGAAGATCTACCGCGAGAAATTATTATTATTATTATTATTGATGTACATGTGCGCGCGGGATGCCACCACCATATGTCGTCTCGTTCGGCCGGCACGCGCTTCCCCGCGCGTCGACTAGCTGTTCGCGGGGCGGCTCGTGCCGTCCATCCGCTGCGGACCGCCACAACGTACGTCGCCGTGACCGCGCGCTCGCGTGTTTGTTGTCGTCGCGTCACCGTACCAGCAACAACGTGCCGTAACGAACGCGTGCGCTTTACGGGGCACCCGACAGAGTGGCTCACGCAGCGCGTTTTCCGGCGGCCAACCGTGTCTTCCGCGTTTCGACGATAGGATATTATTGAATCAAACGCGACGGACAATAACTGTAACCCGAACGGACAAGACGTTGAAACAAGGTAAATTCCATTTATGTACGCACTTCGTACGGTTATTCAGCGGGCTCGTATTACGTATCAAGTGCGCATGGTTACATGATTAGTACCGAACATTTAGAAATTTATTTAAATTTAAATTGTTTTTATTTAGACATAGGAATTCAAATGCGTTTCACTCAACCGTGTTAAATCATATAGGCACCAGTGCCTTGACTACAATTTTGTTCGTCCTAGAGCTGGGTAATAATCGAGGGTCTTACGGACCATTATCGTTTATCAAAATAAACTAAAACAGACATAAAATTTGTTAGATTTCTATAGGTGTTAACATTGCTATCATATTTAATATTAACTAAAAAGCTAATTGTATCATTTGAGATTTAAATTAAACTACCTACTTAAAAAAAAAAATTAAATATGCACTTTTTTAAATTTCAACAGAATATAATACATTATATTTAAGTAAATTAAAAAAATTAGAATTTGGTTTAAGAAAAAAATGTTTCTTCTTTGCCAATTTAGCTAGGTACCGTAAACTATATGTTTAGTGTATAATATACTTAAGTCAATTTTGAGTAAATTAAATTTCCCAAGCATTTAAATTAGGCTTTATTGTAAGGTGCAGTAGGACACTAATTGTGCATTAGTACCTATAAAATATGCTGTAGAATTAACGAACGTGTGCACTTTATTATTATAAAAGACGATTTGACCGTTCATGAAATATCAATAAAAATAAATAAATTATAAACATAACGAATTGTTTGAATATTACGTTAGTGAAACCGATATTGGCTACTTCCACGTCTTTGGATTCATTATCTGCTTCATCAGAATCAATAAAATGAGCGTGGAGAGTGTGAGGCGAAGCCTCCTTGTAACATATTTTATTTGTGCAGTTGGAAAAAATCCTTACAACAAAGCCTGATTTAAATATAAAAAATCTTGGATAGTTTTTTTACATTTATTTCTAAAGTTCTTTCATATCTTGTGTTGAATATTATTGAAAATTGATTCCGGCTGAATGAGTGTCTCCAGTAGTTTTTAATTATAAGTGATTTTAAAAAATATTTATCTCCTATAAAAATTAAAGAAATAATTCATGTTTTTTAAACTTTAGAGCAAAGGTGGGCAAATTAATGAAAATAATTAACTCAAGTTAAGTTAAGTTGAGAAAACAAAAAATCGATAATTTAAAATTTAATTCGATAAGCAGGGCCGAATTTAGGGGGGTGGCACTGGCTACAACTGCCCCAGGTGCCAGTTTTTTGGGGCACCAACATTTTGTGGTCGGAAATTTGCTCACTTGTGAATTATTAATTTTTTAAAATTATTTTGAAATTATTAGTTTCTTGTTTTTAATAACAGTATCATAAATTAATGTTAATGTATTTATAGCAATATACATGGGCGTCACTAAAGTCCAAATGTTGGGGTAGCAAAGTTTATTTTTAGAAAGTTAAGAAATAAATGTTTAAAGGTTTAACATAATAACTAGCTTACTTAACTGGCTAACTCTTCTTCATAAATCTTGGTATGATATATAGTGTATACACTGCATTATTGTCCGTATTGGACTTATCACAAAATATACAAAATGTAATTATTTTCGATACAATCACAATAATAGAGGGTCTATGTTCGTACACATTTGAACAATAAACTTCGAATATATTTTTAAAATCTATAACTTTTTTTGGGGTACCAAGCGAAAAGATAGCCTTGCTACCCCATAACAATTTCTGGGGTATTAAAGATACCCCTCGATACCCCTTAGTGACGCCTATGGCAATATATCAGTGATTCAGAATATTATTAATATACCTAATATTAGTTCCCAAATTTGTTGTAATAATGTCAATAAACATAAGTTATTTATAATAATATGCAGTGGCGGTCAAATGATTTTTCTAACCAACACTATGTATAAAAATCTTTATTTTTAAACATGGAAATTATATTATATTAATGATATTATTAATTATTATTAATTATATTTATATTATTAAATCTATTTTTCTGGTTTTTTTTGCCAATTCGTCCAGTACTTCGTCTACAGTTATATTGACAACCTCACGATGAACAACCATAGTGGTTAAACCATTGAGACGACTCTAAAATAATATAATTACACAATTCATATAATAATATAATATATTATGTTAAGCATTAAGTACTAAATTTAAATTTCATACATTCTTATAATTTAACTATAAAGGAAATGAAAAAAATTTAAAAAGTTTGTTTCAATTAATATTTTAGTGTTTTATGTTTGAACTGTTAATTTTATTCGAGCCTAGAAACTATATAATAACTAATAAGTACAGTATATTTTTTTTTTTTTAAATAGGAAATAGATGAATACCTATATTATATTATGTATAATATGGATGAATTATAAATATTTAAAAAAAGGTCATGGCGGATCTATCCCCCTCGCCACCCCCCCCCCATTTGACCGCTACTGATGATATGGAGTATTATGTTATTGCGTGCGGCGGCGTGCCTACTACACAAAAATAGCATTGATTTTAGAATAGGTATTTAAAAGGTTCATGAGGATCTATCAAATATATTTTCCGTGGGTAGGCCCTTTAGAGTGCCACCAATTTTTTTTTTGTTTCCGACACAAAATGTCTAAATACAGCACTGTCGATAAGTTAAAAGTATATTAACTCAATTTAAAAAAAGTTGATCTAATTTTTTTAATTAGTATATAAATTACATAAAAAGTGACTGAGTTCTTTAGAAAGATCTAATTTCCTCAATTATAATAAACAATTTTATTGAATTTCTTATCATAGTAGTGGCGCCGAAGTGTTCGAAAAATACTATGACATTGTACATCAAGGAGCCACTCACTACCGTATTAATTTATCTTTGTAGTTGAAATTCTTTATACATAATATTCTGTATCCACGGTCTGAACCCAATATCCAAAGGTGGACCACTAATCTACAAAATCTAATATGACATCTGATGTACAGTGTATGTGACCTTTTTACTTTACATAATTATTTAATTTTTATATTAATATTTACGTATAAAACGAAAAATTTCAAAATTTTTTAACTTGTTAGATCATTATTAAATCAACTGTAATAAGTTAAGTTATATTAATTGCCAATTAAACTAGTTTGAAAAAAAAAATTAACTTTTTAACTAGTTACTTACCTTTGTTTTATAATAACTTGTAGAAATATTTTTGTTTTATAAAAAAACATTTCTTCGTGTATATTTTTTATATTTTAATTTACTATTATTTCTTCTGGTAGGTTATAAAAGTTACCCTGTAAAATCTAAACTAATATGGTCATTATAGATCAATACAAAATCATAAAACTACTTTATAAAAATAATTTTCTTTGACTTGTAATCAACTATGGAGAATAAGACAGTCAAATGTCAAACAAACACTTTCCATTGTATTAAATCGAGTTTTGAGTTTGACTATGGATCAACCGCAGGATAAAATACTATAGTTTTAAAATGTTCACGTATAATACTTAATCTCCTACTTTTAATTACTATTGTTTAATGTTTTGATTGATTATTAAACATAATAACTTGATGTATTTAAAAAAGTTCCTATATAAATAGTATTAACTAAATAATTTATGTAAAAATACATGGTTTAATTCACACAATTTTTAATTTGGATTTTGTTTTTAAAAGTTGGTCCAAATAAAATTTCGTTTTTACCGTATTAATTAATAGTATTATATACGTTACTAAGTAATTATTTTCATTTTTACCCCTTTTAACCCTTGTAGAGGTTGAATTTTGAAAAATCCTTTCTTAGTGGATTTCTACAACACGAAACAAAACTATTGTTCAAAGTTCATACTCATTCAACATACAGATTCAACGGTTCTGGCTAGGTGATGATGATCACCCAGGACAAGTAATTTTATATATACAGATATATTATAAAATAAAAGTGATTATATTGGAACGTATTTCTTCAGACTTTGTCTAAGACTTTTTGAGAAATGATAAATGGCAAACATTATTAAGTGATTTCGATATAAGATATTAAATACAATATCGATACTGAGTATTTTTGAATTAAACATAGTATAAGTTATATGTATTAGTTAAAGTGTTACATAGATAAAAATTAGATTAAAAAGTCGAATATATGATAGATGAAACTATAGTAAAAATATAATCGAACCCTTTCAGTAACACTAAACTTTTTAATAAATATGATTATATAATATATATATATTGATAATTACAAAAAGTACTAAAATGAATACAAAAAATTTATGATTAAAAAGTGCGTATTTCTTAACAATTTATGTAATAATATATAATTATAGTAACTGCGAAATTTGAATATTACACGTGATTACAAATATTAATAATTAAAATTGTATTAAACGTATTAAAACTAATGATACTAATAAATTACGTAAATAGTTTAAATTAAATTTTTTTATATTGTATTTTATAGATTTGTATTCATAAGTGTGCGCACGGGGTAGTCAGGGGTAGGCACTTGATTACACTGTGAACCTTCCCTACCTCACCAAAATATTCAATATTTATCACAATAATAAATAACCATATTATGTTCAACCACTTCGGAAGTCTGTAAATGGTAAATACATGTATAAGAATATTGGAAAAATATAATTATTAAGTTAAATTAAGTTAACCCATCCAAATTTGTTGTTAATTAAATGTTAATGTGTTATGTATGATTACCCTGCCAGTAATGTCTGCACGCGCTTATGTTTATATTCATATTTTAAATAATATTCCGTTATATTTAAAAAATATTTTTGCACTTATGAATCAATTAATACTTATAAAAATATTATCAATAATATAAATTACTATTGACCAATACAGTAGTATAATTTTAAGAGCGACTTCGAAAAGATCTGTAGGTGATTTTTTTTGGATTTTCTAGTTTTAAACGAATTAGTTGTAGACTGATAATGAATTCATGAAAATTACGTACTTTTGGTTTTTGTAATACGATTAAACTTTGTTTTTAAATTTTATTTTTAACCTCATAAAAAAAATATAATACAATTTTTCGGCTATAGTAGTGTAGTTATTACTATTATTATATGCATATTTTGTTTCAATTACTAACCCATAAATTAAATCATAGTGTGTCCTGCAGTTCAAACAAAAATATACTAATGATGGATATGATGCACTCAACTAACTCGCATGCTGCGGGCTACAAGCGATACGGCCTAGACTTAAACAGGAATCATGACGAATCGTCTCAGCACAACGCATATTGGCAGTGGCAACACTCTGACGGTTCTTCATCAGAAGGATTTCACCAACAGAGCAGTATTTTTAATGCACATCACTGGGACGTTAACAGGCCCTTACAACCAGATGCATGCAGTGTTGATATGCAGCCTTCTCCATACTTCACGAAACACGTTCCCGAATGGAATGATACTTGTTTTAGGTACAGTAAATAATAAAAGCTGTCGGGTTATCTAAAATTGTGGTCACTAGTCCACTAATTGCCTTCGTTCACCATATTATTTTCCTTTAAATTGACTACTGTCTGTAAATATTCTAGTTTCCTTAGGGATAGTAAATAAGAAATCAAGTTGCACTTAGAATAGGTTTTTTTGAATCTCATGTTATTTAATTGGATTCGAATTGTAAAAGCAAACTTGCCTTAACTTTTTTTTATAATTCTTAAATATCAAAATAGAAGTATTATCAGTTTTTAACATAATGCTGAAAAGATTTCATACTTCAATGAATTTATTGATTACTTACTACGTAATTTAGTAATTATTATTGTCTAATTAACCATTATTTAATGTCAACATCAACATTTATAATAAAATTATTATTATTAATTAATTATATAAATTTAATTTAAAAGTTAATACATAACTAGTATTTTTCATATTAAGCTATAGTAACCCAGATGCACAATATGTACCTTAAATATTAATAATTATAGAGGCGAACATTTTAAAAATTAATATAATTAGTTACGTTGGTTAACACCACTAATATTTTTAAACTCATTTTTATGAAATTATAATTTTTAATCAACCAATAACTTAATTATAACTTACGATTTTATATTCATAAATATAAAATAGTCAATGTTATTGATAGGTGATAATAAAATACAAATACATTTTTGCTTTAATTAGGAAAACAAATGATTATACGCCAAAAAACCCTAGCAGTAAAGAATCAATATCTCCTACAGTGGCAAGAAAAAGACGTTTAGCAGCTAATGCAAGAGAACGCCGACGTATGAATGGCTTGAATGAAGCATTTGATAGACTCCGTGAGGCTATACCTACATCTATCGAAGATGACCACAAACTTTCAAAATATGAGACACTACAAATGGCTCAAAGTTACATATCAGCATTATGCAACTTACTAGAACAAGCTCATAAGTAAAATATTACCTTAACACTAAATATAGTTTAAATGTATTTTTTTTTTCTTTACACAAAAATGTTTTCTAGTCACATAATAAACACTTAATTTTTTTATTTGTCTATTCAATAAAAATAGCAATGAAAAATCATTAAACACAATTATCTTTATTTTTTTTCATTACTGCACACCTAAATAAAAAATAATAAGTGGTACAAGACAAAAAAAAAAGTGTTACTTCAGTAAAATTTTCAAAATAAGAACAGACATATTGATAACAAAATTGAATTGATTGTAAGTTATTTAACATTAAATTGTATAAATTGGATAACTTACTGGCTGAGAATACAGTAAAAAAAGAATGAATTTAAAAATTAAAATATATTTTTTAAATATGTATTAACATTAATCAATATATTGTGCCAGCCATCTGAATCCTTCTCCATAACCATGACGTTTTAATACAGAACACATGAACACTTCCAATGGACGACCTGGAATCTCTGATCTAGGTACTTTATTCTAAAATTAAAAAATATAAAATGTTAAATTATGTAAAATAAAATACTTAAATTAAGGATAGTATACTGCAATGATGAAAACAATATTGCAACATGTTTAAAATAAATAGAGACCATGATTTAAATAATAATTATAAAAATTAATTGGAATACAATATTTTTAATATTATATTTTAGTCATTTAGTGGCATACTTATAAACCCCTCCAAGTGCCAAAAAAAGTTATGAAGTGATATTTTAAAATATTTATTGTTAAGATCTGAGTTAAGAGTAAAAACATAATTAATGATTGTATTATCGTAATGTTCACTAAAAATGCATGTTTTTATGAATATAAATTAATAATTAATTTATAAAACTATTTTAGTACAAGCTTCTAAGAATGTTGTATGCAATATTTATAACAAATTAATGTTTGGCCTTATTGGTATAATATTATACCCGTCTTAAAATGATTGTATTATCTTAGAGACATTAAGAGGGAGAGGTTTATAAAACATGTTAAGTCCCCACCCAGGGCTACACCATTGCTATTAAGAATTTGATTATTGATAAAAGAGGAAATTATAAATAAGTAGTTTTTAGAGTGCATTATTTTTTTTAAAAACTTACTTTTCCAGTTGTTTGGTTTAATGCAAAATAAGCTCTTAAATCTTGTTCACTCAATGCTCCTGGTCTATCAATTTTATTACCAAGAACGAGTACAGGGCAGTTAGATAAGGATTCATCGAGTAACAATGAATCCAATTCTGTTTTACTTTCCATAATTCTAGATTTGTCACAAGCGTCAACTAAAAATACAATTGCATCTACAGCAGGAAAATAATCTTTCCATACTTTTCTTGCTTGAGAATGGCCACCCAAATCAAAGGTTGTGAATTTTATGTTGCCCACAGATAACTCTTCCGATGCTAAAAATTAATGATATATATATATATATATATGATAAAGATACATCAATATAAAAATATGCATAATTTTAAAATTATTTTATACTTGGATGCAAAGTTGGAGTATGTTGTGCTAAACGATCATCTTTTAACATATGTAATAGTGTAGTTTTTCCAGCATTATCTAAACCAAGGAATAGTAATTTTCCTGATTTTTTCCACAGTCCTGTAAATAATTTACATTTAAATTGTTTCAATTTAAAATAAATTTGTAAGGGTAAAAGAATAACTTATTAATTATATAAGTGATCAAAAAAATTAAATTTAGTGATAATAATATAACAATTGATCTTTAACGTGTTCAGGGCTAGATTTAGACCTAGGCCCTTAAGGCTCGGGCATAGGGTAGCAAAATTTGAAGAGTGCAAATTTATTGTATCAAACAAAAGATAAATGTATTTTATTAATATTTTATAGAAAGTGTGTTAAAATTTGTTCAGTTTTCTGGTACCTATAAAATAGTTGTCTATATTTATTCATAAAATATCATTTATCATTATAGTAATAATATTTCAAGCCTGCATATGTTATAGAACAAACTATGAACTTTAGTATTCATTATAAAATATTAAGTTATGAAAATATTCTTAGTCACATAAGAAACAATCTGCAACAATAAAATCGTAATACAGAAATAAATAAACAAATAGTTTATTAATATCTATATTAATTTCAAGTATTAATCATTTAATAATTTTTAATTATTTTATTAATTATTTATTACTTACCTAAAGATCCTAGAACGCCAGTAAACCAATCCCAAAGAAACATTTTTGGATAAAATTATCTATAAAAATGAGTAACACACATTTTAAAATATTTTTAATTCAAATATGGATTTTTAAACAAGTAATACATATATATTTAATAAAATTGATTTTATTTTAATAAATATATTCAGAAAATTAAACTACTATTTTATACATTGTACATATTAAAAAAAAACCTTCAAAACCAGTTTCATCCTAAAAAAATATACTAACCTGTTAAAGAATCAATGTCAGAAATAAAAATATATGAATTCTATAACCAGAACCAAGCAACAAGTACATTATATAAGTTGAGTTGTTATGTGAAAGAAGGAACAGTTAATAATTTAAATAAGAAGAACAATAGAAAATTAATCTTTGTCTTATTAATCAATATACTTATTTACTTAAAATTAAATACTAAAAAATGTTTGTATTTATTTTATAAAGTTCCATTATATTTTTTTGCATTTAAATATTTATTTTGAGACAAGTAATACATTTATTTTACTTCTGAATAAATAAAAAAAATCAGAGTTTTTTATATTTTGATACCCTTAACCCATAAACTTTTCTATACATTTAATTATAGAAATATATCCAGATAACGCACTTACCCCAAGTTATGAGAAAAGTGCGTCTTGAAATATTTTTAAAAAAAATTATTCTAAAAATTTAATACTGAACCAAATGCATTTCTGATAAAAATATAGATAGCTTATAACATAAGAAACATGATACTTACAGCAAAATCATATACCTAGAAGTTAAGCTTGAAAAAATAAAATAATTTAAACTTTTTCTTTTATCAATGCACTTACCTCTCCTAACCCTAATAGAATATTTCAAGGAGTAGGTAAGATCTTACTATAAAATTATATGATCACAAAAAGTACAACCAACAACAAATACAAAAAGTTTATAATTGAAAAGTGTGTATTTCACAGAGTTGGGCAAAAACAAATCAAAATAAAAAATAAAAGCATGAATAACTAATTTATTTATGAATAAAGAATATTTTTTTATTTTGAATAATTGTGGTGTACTGAATAAATTTATTCGTTAAAATCATGAATGATATTAATTAAATAATGATATTAAATATATAAGTATATTTAATTTATTTTTGTCAGTTATTATATGTATTAATATGTATTACCTTTACATATATTATTTAAGTTTAAATAATAAGTCTTTTATTATTATACATCATTATTTAGAATTTAAATTTATTATTTATATGATTATAAGGAATAACGAATAACTGAATAATGAATACAAATAAAAATCAATAATAAAATTAAAAATAAATCAATGAAGAATAATTTTTTATTCAAATAATCAATCGAATAATATTTTATTCGACTAATGTCCAACTCTGGTATTTCATAACAATTTATGTAAATAGAACAAGTAGAATGTACATAATATGTACATATTATCACACTTCTTATAATTAAATTTATATAATGCTTATTATTATTGAATCATCTAATTAACAAAGACAATGGCTACTTAAATATTCCAATTTTACATTGTATTTAACCATTTTTTATATTATTAACTCATAAATCAAAATATATTTTTTCAAACAAAATGAAGAATTAATCGATTTATAATGACAATATGATAAATCATGTTTAATAAGAAAAACAATTTTCTAGACAAAAGGTATTCCAGAAATTTTGAAATAACTTAGGTGACTATTAAGTAAATATGAAATTTGATTATAATTACAATATAACTAATAGTTATAATGTATAATAATAGGACAGTAAATTGTTAATATAAATATCCCTACAAAAAATTAATGCTTTACATTAGTAATATAATCATAATAATCGATAGATGTCTCGAAATAATCATTTGAAATGTTTAATTAAAATATTAATAATTTAGAGATACTGTCATACTTGGGAGTATTATTTACATACTTATCTACAAGGCCGTAACTTGGGTGGGGAGGGGGTCCAGTTGTCCGGACCCCCCCTACCGAAATTTTCAAAAGTAGAAACATTTTAGCGATGAATATAGTTTATTAACTATAATTTGTATTAAATAAAAATGTTAGATCCCCCCGAAATTTTTTTCCAGTTACGGCCTTGCTTATCTACATTATCTACATTTTTTACATACTACATATTTGATACAATTATTAAAATAATTTAAATGTTTTCAACGAAATATTGAATAATATCTAGTGATGGGAATTATTGAATTAGTAAAATTAGTTATCAAGATATTCGCTAGAAACCAAATTTTAAATAAAGCCTAAAGAGCTTTTTAATTGGTAAGAAATACAGATTATTAGTTAATTGTTAGTTTTTTACTACGGCAAATTTTTTGTAATTACTTATTATGACTATTATCTATACTTATTACCTACTGAATATTAGAAAACTTTCGATGCGTTTACTAAATGTTTACACCAGCGATTTCCAAAGTGTATTCCGCAAGGTGTACATGAATATTGAGAACAGTAATTGTAGCAAATAATAATCATGAACTATCTTTAAAACATTTTTTGGAGTATAGGTTTTACAATAAATAAATGAAAAATTGGGTCAAGTTGGAGTTAGAGACGTTGGGCTTCCGTGAAAAAAAAATATTTCCTAAGGGTTCCGTGATCGTAAAAGTTTGGGAACTGCTGATTTACACGATATACCTACACACCAATATTAGATTATTGAAAAATGGACTACTCTTTTGATTCATAGTAATTTTTAAATCGAAATCAAAGACAGAACACAAAATTAAATAACATCGGACGGTAACCTAGTAGGTAACTCGATGGTTACATAAATAATATTATATTACCCACGTATAAAGAATTTTGAATTATATTGATATAATTTTATTTATAAACATTCTGAGCAATTTTTGTTGTTTTTTGGTTGAGTGATTATAGAATCATAGCCATACATATATTTACGTCAAAGTTAAGAATAAAAATAACTAAGAATAACCGTCAATATTTGTCTAACGGCCAGCACCACGAGTCGAAAATATAAAGGCTCAAAGTCAACAACTATTATTTACTAATTCAATTATGAAAATTAAAAAATAGTATTCCTTCTTCAACATCACTCGTTCCATGAAGATCATTAGAAATATTTTTTCATTCAATATACATTGAGATCAAGAATTTATCGTTTTTCAAATTAACGAGATATCACTCGGAATTATCACTGTGTTATATAATCGAATTATTACTTTGATAATTCAAATACCTATTTCGATTAGGCCCATCATTACTAAACATTGTATTATTTAATGTTTACGGCTTATCCTTGGTTTACAATAATTTAAATTGGATGTAAATAATGAGTCGTGAATGAGTTCAAAAAAAATGCAATCATATCTCTAAGCTCATATAATTGACAGATCAATCAGAGAAATATTGTAAAATAAAATCATGATATATTAGTGAAAAATCAATGCCACAATATTAATTAATAAAAAACTCAAACTTAAAGAAATGTTTTCAATACTTAAATTTAAAATTGTATTATTCATGGAAGAGATAATATTTTGAAAATTGCTTAAGCTTGTTGATTTTATCAGTTTTTATTACATAAGACATAGGTAAGATAATAAATTTAAATTTCCAATATCTGGAATGCTAATATGTACAAAATGTATCGGTGTTATTCCTCTTTTTTTCAAAACCAATAGAAACATTTAAGTTTAAAACCATTTAAACATTTTAATTACAACCACCTAGTATATTTCTAGTATATTATCTATAACATCATTAATGATTGTTATTAATAAAACCATTGGTTTCATTTTTAAAGATTTGAAATCTTGAAAACTGTATAATGAACATTTAAAATATTTACTGCAATAAAATATATGTAACTATTTAATTAAGTTCATAATTCATAGCATAGGTTATAACTTCAGAATATTCTTATAGAATATTGACGTTTTCTTAATTAACACTTAAATTTGGAAAAAATACAACCTGAAGATCAAATAATAAAAATTTTCAAAAGCGAGAAAATATTGCCTTATAAGTAATTATTCTTTGTATGTACTTTGAAATAGAAGAATGCAACAAACACTACATACTGCTGAGAAATTTGAAGTGAATGTCTAGTAAAGCCAAGGAAAATTAAATCACTCCGCGCGATTTAGTTCGATAAATTAATCTAAGAGTAAATACTGATAGCGTTCCGATGAAATATTCGAGTATAATTATCATGATACAACCCAAAAATCTTGGATATTGTATATTTGAATAGGAATGACGTCGTGGGAAATGAAGGTTGAACTTTAGGTGTGTAATAATCAGGTTGCGCGTACACCCGTGGCATTATTCTTCAGGTAGACCGATCATTGTTTTTCCGAGAGGAAAATTTTTGTACGGCAATCCATGGACACGGTTGTCGCAAATTATATGTATGAGAATAGAATGCTTTCTATAGTACGTACTTTAGACAGACTTATCGGGGTCACAACTTTGTGCCGTTCATTGGTGGTAAAGTTATTGTTGATGATGGCGATGACTACAGTTGGCCGCTGAACAGTTCTCGGTGGGCTCCAACTCGAACTATGACGGACAGCACGAGAGAGTAGGTATCCTACGTACGAGACGAAAACGGATATTATAGTTGGTCCGTGTATGTGCACCGTAACTAAGCACTGCAGCGGACAGTGGTTAAAAGTTAATTGTGTGACGGTGATAAATAAAATCTCCGCAGAAAATAATATAAAAAAAAAAAAAAATAAGCGATGACTTGACGTGCGAAATTAAGTGATTAAAATATAGTGATAGGGCATGGAAGAGGAGAGAAGGGGTTCCAATGTGTCACGGAGCCATCGGTGACTGGCAACGATTGTCGCATAATCATAACCTCTTTGGAATCGTCATTGTTTCTCAGTGGTCTGCTGTCGTATTCGGATTTCTAACCGTGCCGTGGAAAAAACCCAACAACGTAGTGTATTCGACCTGTACGATACATATGATCATAGGTAAGTATTAGTGATGGGCACTATCGAATAGTACTATTGAACTATTCGATAGTCCAGCGCATTCGAATTATTTCATAGTTTTTCAAAATAATCGATTGTTCCGAATTATTCAAAGCTATTTAGTATAATATTTACTATTAATATTTTTGTCATGATTATAATTAATATTATATAAATTGTTGTTATTATAATTATTTGCTTTGTTATGAATATTATATTTTTATCATAGTTTTGCTACACGAAAATTGGACATTATTCACTATTTATTTAATTTATCTATTCAGAATAATCAATTTATTCACAGTTATTTTTATTTTTTATTCACAAGTTGAATTATTATTTAGAATAAATTTTATTTTTCATTCACTACTAAAATTATTTAAAAAAAATATTCATTATTCAAAAATAATTAGTTATTCATGGTTTTATTTTTTATTCATAATTTTAATTTTTTTTTTTTTTTGCTCAACTTTGTTCATATTTGTACGGTAAACACCTGGAAAAAAACAAAACGTGTAAGTCACTTTTTTCATATTCACCTGTTTGATAATTTTTTTAGGACTAAAAATGTGCCGTAGGAATTTCCTCTCTAAAACTGCCAGTTTTCTCTTGTCCTCCTCTGACGTAGGCCACATTTCACATGAGTACAGAATTATTGGTCTTAACTAAAACCTTGAATAATCGCATTATTGACTTTTTTTATTAATAATTTGGACCTGGAGGTTTTCTGTAGCACGAAATAACACCTGTTTCTGGCTTTTATCTTCAGATTTATTTTTTTGTGATAATTATTGCTGCCATTCATGTCGACTCCCAGATATTTAAAACTTTCAACATTTTTATAACAATAATTTTCTTTCTCAAAAACTTCTGTTTTGGTCTAATTAGTTATCTCTCGTATCAATAGGCGTAACTAGAGTTCAATTTCTGGGTCGGCTAAATTTTAATGATATTAGCAATCCGTGGGGGGCTTTGTCCCCACACCCCCAATATTGATTGTCAACACTAACATTTATATTTATATTAATTAGAAGTCCTTACGACCTTACCTATAGTCGTTTATAGTTTACAATGGAGCGTCGATTATCCGCATATCTATTATCCCGCCCGTCAATTATCCGTACTATAAAATTTTTGAGTACAAATTTATTTTTAGATTAATTTAATTTAGTTTTATCGTTCGTTATGTTATATCGTGTACTATAATGTTATAATATATATATATATCATTATAAGGTAATTTGGTAATATATTTATAAATACATTTTAATTATATAAGAGATTAATGATAACTAATTAATTAATTATAATAATTATAATTATAGGAATTACTACATATTTCAAATAGTATCTTAGAAGCATAAATTAGAGTGGCATTTAACCTTTAAATAGGAAAAAAATCAGATTTCAATATAAATGATGTCAAAGTTGTCGAAAAATAAATATTTCCCAACCTTTCTAAACTTTTACAAGTGGCTCCTATAAGTTCAGCCACCCACGAAAGGTCGTTCTCTTCAATGAGACAAATAAAACATTTGCTTAGATCTTCCATGGTCGAAGATTGATTTACTTTATAATAAAAATGTAATAGCTATGAATTGTATATTTTATTGGTTATATATGTATATCCTTCTTATTCGTGTTTATTTAGGTAGTTGGTCTGTAAGTAGTAAGTGACTAAGTGTAAAATGTTACATCGAAATACAGTAGAGCGTCGATTATCCGCACTAATTGAGACCGAAGGGGGTGCGAATAATCGATTTGTGCGGATAATCAAACAATCATTTAAAATTGTAATATAAAGTTATAAACTAATTTACTAGATATAATATTAAATATAATATTCATACATAATATAAAAAATTACATATATATATATAATATATATATATATTTATGGAATTGGATAAATGGACAACGACTGGAACTAGAAAATGGATTAAAAATGGGTACATAGGATGATAGGATCTTAAACAAACCGGGAGCGCTACAGTACTTACTGGACGCTATTAAAAAATATAATACAAACATACCAGCGCTACAAGAAATTAGATGACTAAATGAAGGAAGTATGAAAAAAGAAGATAATACAATATTCTATAACGGAAGAAAGGATGAAAGACATGAAAATGGTGTGAGATTTATAGTGAATGACGATACACTACCACAAGTAAAAGGATTCACGGCAGTGAATGACAGGTTATGCTATATTCGAATCGCTGGTCCCATTTTCGATGTTATTATAATAAACGCATATGCGCCAACTGAAGAGAAAGAAGAATATCTTAAAAATAAATTCTACGATGATTTAGAGAAAATAATTGACACAACAACAAACAGCTGTATCAAAATACTAATAGGTGATTTTAATGCAAAAATATGGAAGGAGGATATGTACAGACCCACGATTGGACTGAATGACTTACACGACGTAAGTAACGATAATGGAACCAGGTTGATCAATCTGTGTTTAGCAAAAGGATTTAACCTTAGTAGTACATACTTCACAAGGAAGGACATACATAAACAAACTTGGATAGCACCTAGTGCAGCGTCTCTCAAACTGTGGGTCGCGACCCCCTAGGGGGTCGCCAGTCAATTTTTGGGGGGCCACGAGAAGTTTTTTTTAATTATATAGATTGTAAGAAACAAGCACATTCATCACATACGCCTAATTAATAATAAAGTATTATATTATTATAATTATAAAGTAGTAAATAAGAAATAAAATAGAATAAATTTGTTTTTTGAAATTATTTTTATTGATTCTGTAAATGTAAAACTATGGGGTCGTGATAGATTTTGGAAAAAAATTTGGGTCGCGGTCCTAAAAAGATTGAGATCCACTGACCTAGTGGAATAACTAGAAACCAGATTGACCACGTAATGATACAGAATAAACATAAAGGGTGCATAAAAAGTGTCAGGAGCTACAGAGGGGCAGACGCCGACTCGGACCACTACCTTGTAATTACAAAACTTAAAATTAGATTATCCAATATATGGAAAAAGGTAAAAAATAAGGAATCTGTAAAATACTGTATAGAAAAACTGTCAGATAGGGATGTATTGAAGGAATACATCTATAAAACACAGAAAGCATTACAAAAGACCAACAAAAATATAGACGAAGGTGAAAATGTTGAACGGATATGGAACAGAATCAGAACAGTAGTAGTCAACAGTGCTAATAATTGTTTAGGAATAAAAAAAAAAGAAAAAAAGAAAGGAATGGTTTAATGATAGATGTAAGGAAGCAATAGAGAGGAGAAGTCACGCACGAGAAAAATCTATCAAGCACCCGAGTGTCATAAACGTAGAAAGGTATAAGAACACTAAAAGAGAAACCAATAAAGTATTAAAATGTGAAAAAAGACTGGCAGAAAAAAGAAAGATTGAAGAAATTGAAGAAAACAAAAATAACCCCAGAAGATTCTTCAACAATACTGCCAACATTAAACGGGGATATAAACCACAGACTAGGATTTTAAAGAATGAGTTAGATGAGCTAGTAACAAAAGAGAAAGTAGTAGAAGAATTTAAAAAACATTTTGAATGTCTTCTAAATAAAACAGCACCAATATCAATACACGAATAAATGGATATACAATAAAGTACAGCGGAACCATATATTGAACCTCCAACGAAACTGGAAATCTATAACATCATAGGAAAACTAAAGAACAACAAATCACCTGGAGAAAGTAGCATAGTAGCGGAATTACTAAAAAATGAAGGAGAAACAATCAAAAGTGAAATTTGGAAAATAATTAAGGTAATTTGGGAAACCGAGGAAATGCCTGGAGAGTGGAACACGGCAATACTATGCCCAATATTTAAAAAGAGAGACACACTAGACCCAATAAATTACAGAGGAATTTCCTTATTGGATACTTGTTATAAAATATTGTCGACGCACCTTTTGGAAAGAATAACACCGTATACAGAAGCCACCATGGGAAGGTACTAATGTGGCTTTATAAAGGAGAAATCCACCGTCGACCACATATTCACCTTAAGGCAAAGGATGGAAAAATACGAGTGTGATAAGGACCTATATATGGTATTTGTGGATTACAAACAAGCTTATGAAAGTGTAAATAGGAAAGAACTATGGAAAGCAATGATACTTTTTGGAATCCCACAAAAATATGTTAACTTAGTAAAAATGTGTAATGTCAAGACGTTACTTAATGTACGTTTCTTACAGAGATTATCGCCAGCCTTTGAGGTTAATTCAGGATTAAGATAAGGAGATGCTTTATCGCCAACTTTATTTAACCGGGGATTAGAAAAAGTTATCAGAGAATCCTATGAAGGACGAACAATGGAAGTTCTTGGTGAAGAAACTGTTTTAGCATATGCTGATGACATAGTTATTTTAGGGAATACGCGAGAAGAAGTTACCTGCTCAGTTTCTAAACTAATATAAGCCAGCAAAAACAAGGGTTTATGTATCAATGAAGAAAAGACTAAGTGTATGACACTATCTAGAAGAAACTTAGCCTAGTCAAACCTGAAAGTAGGAAGAATGAACTTTGAAAGGGTGGATAATTTCAAATACTTAGGTGTTAATATAAACAGTAGTAACAACATGCATAGGGAAATAGAAGAAAAAATATCGAATGGAAATAGATGTTACTTCAGCATAAACAAACTTTTAAGATCAAAACTGCAATCTAGGAAGTCAAAAACTACACAAGCTATCTTAGGCCAATAGTAACTTACGGATGTGAGACTTGATCCACGACAAAAGATAACAATAGAAAACTTGCTATATGGGAAAGGAAAATATTAACGACAACCTGGGAATTTATGAAGAGGCACAATGAAGAGCTGTATGACCTGTATGAATAACCAAGTATACTCACATATATAAGGTGTAAACGTCTAAAATGGCTGGGATATGTACGGAGAGCTGATTGAGATGTATTAAAAAATGTTCTGATAAGAAAAATAAATAAAAAACGCTCACTTGGAAGACCAAGAACAAGATGGAAAGACACCGTAGAAAAGGATATGAGACTAATAGATGAGCATGCAACGTTAGACTGGACTTTGGACAGAGAAAAATGGAAAAGCTTACTAGTGGCAGCGCAGGTCCTTAATGGATCGTTAAGCTGTTGAAGAAGAAGAAGAATAAGTGAAACTGAATGGGCTACGGACAAAACTGGATGGACTAAGCCTACCCCGCCCCCCTAGTTGCGCCTGTGCTTGTATCAGCTCTTTTGTAGTCCTTTTTAATTGATCCAAGTATCACTACATTATCATTGTAGGCTAGTAATGCATTTGTTTTTCCATTGAAACTGATACCTTCTTGAACTTTCCTAACAACTTCTTCAAGGGCAATGTTAAACAGTGTCGGTAACAGGGCATCTCCATATTTTAAACCTACTGTTGCCTCAAATTCTTCTGAATAATTATTTCAAAATTTTATTTTATATCTTGATCCCTCAGTGCTCATGCTTTCTTCATTCTGACTAATTTCAATGGTATATCGAGTTTTCCCATGTTTTTCTACTGTGATTTTCTCTTGATAGAATCTTATGTCTGATTAAAATCTATTTTTTTTTTTTTTTAATTTGCCTTTGTTCGCACATTACAGCAAATTACAATCTAAAAATGGTGAAATGGCTTATTATCAGGACCATATTTAAAAATTTGGCGCTCCCGGGCATATAATTTATGCCTCCCCCCCCAAATAAATAATAATAATATAACACTTATTATTACGTCCATAATCGAAATTCTTTAATATTGAAATATAAATTATAAATGAAAATCGTTTTATATTTTTTTAATTAACAAATTATAATATAATAAAACATACTATTTTATTTTTTTTTATTGTTGTAATTTTTTTTTTTATTAGGTACATCGTTTTTAAAATTAATTTTGCTAAAATATTTTGCCACCCTTGAGACTTGACTCCCGGGGCATGTGCCTACCCGTGCCCCCCCTAAATACGGGTCTGCTTATTGTACTCGTAATGTTTTTATATTAATTGTCTTAGCATAAACACATGTGAATACTGCATTATCCTGTCCTCGATCCTGTATTTATAGTTGGTCTAGTATTTCTTGGAAAACACTTTTGAACTCTTTAGCAATGGATTGTGCGTCTGTTATCAATTCGCTATTCTCATTTTTTATTATTGCCAATTTTGGTCTATACAATTTCTTCATTTCGTTGGCTTTCTAGAAAACATTTTGATGATGTGCCGACCATTGGCGTAACCAGAAGGGGTTAATGGGGTATAACCCCCTCCCCCGAAATGTCTCTCTTAATTTGTAAGATTTACAATAATTTTAAGATTTAGGTGTAGTTTTGTATTATGTCTTCATTAAACATTTTTCAGTTTTACTTTACTTACTAATTACTTTTTTTTTTTTACTTATGTAGAAGATAATTAAAATTTTAACTTCCCCCTCCCCGAAAAATAATATTTTTCTAGATAGCCATTGGTGCCGAATTTGGCATAGCTAAGCTCTAGATTGTGGCAAACGCATAAATTGTTCAACCTCATATGTGGTCATTTGCAAATGACGCCACTGCTCAATTCCATTAAATTAGTTTATAACTTTTTATTATTTTATTTCAAAAGGAAACATAGCTTACAACCGATACATGTTTTTTTTAAGACGCCAAAAATAAAATGAAAATATTGACGAATATGCTAAGAAATTTAAATTACTGTCTTCAACTTGTGGATTTGATAAATTAGCAGATACATTAATCAGAGGATGTTTAATTTAGTATACGCTCGTTGGGTATAGTCGAATATGTCTTAATTCATGGTTGTAACAAACAGAATTTTAGACTGAGCGATTATGCAATTTTCTTTACGTGTATTAATTTCGATATTTGAAGAAACTAAAATTTATGAAAATGGTACTATATCTATTTCCATATTTGTAGACGCGTGTTTTTTTAAATTAGGGTGGTCCAATCTACGGCTCATAGGTCATAGATGCCCTTGAAGACTTTTTTTGTCCTCCTTCATAAAAGACTTATATTAAAAAAAAGTCACAATAATATTATAACAAAATCGTTATATGATTGTATATTTTAATGTTTTAATAGCAGTTTCAGCAAATCCGATTTCTTATAGTGAGAGATTGTGAAAGTCATTTTTAGGCAGCGATTATTAACTGTAGGTTTTACTGGACAATAATATAATTTTTTTTCAACCGTTAGTGTTATTATGAAAGTGTAAATTGGCCCGCCAACTACAAAAGGTTGGACTACTTTGTTTTAAATTATCATCAAGCCCTTTGTAATTTATGTTAATCACAATACATTGAAATGTTGACAGCCTAGATAATCTAAAATTAAGTTTTAATTTATTTTTGTGTAGCTCGACAATACGTAGATTCTATTCGTTTATTTACTTTTTTTGCTCCACCCCAGTTAAAATTTTGGATTAGGTCCGTCATCAGTTAGGTCTTAAATTTTACGTTTTTTTATGTTCATTAACAGTGGTGTATAAAGGTGGTGTATGACGAAATCTGCCCACGTAAAGGGCGCGAATTGCAAAGGGGTGCAAAATTGTACAAAAGTCGTATTTTTATCCAACAATTAAATCGACATTTTTCCATTATACTTTTTGAAATACATAGATGTTGTCTATTTGTACATACTACGTGTGAATTTAATGATGAAATTATGAAAATAGGGCATTTAAATAAAACATTTCATATAAAAAAATTATCGATGAATTTGCCAGTCATAAAGCAAAAAAAGCAAACTTTTAAAGTTTAAAATTAACATGGTAATAATAACTTATGAGTATAAATTGTATACTTAAAAATATTAGTAAAATTAAAGGTAAAAAAATATATCATGATATCAAATTTTAATTGGTTGGAAAGGTAACTTTTTCTAAATTTGCCAGCGGCGCTAGCGAGTCTTCCTACGCCACTGTTCACTAATACAAAATTAAAAAAAAAAATTGTAATACTAATGTAACTATACTTCTATACACATACGTGTGTGTACTACAGTCGCCCCTACTCCCCCATTCTATTTTTTTAAAGGTTTAATTTTAAACATACACAAGTTTTACATAATTTTGACGATAACGTATGCAATACTGATCCCGCATATACGAGTGACAAGTACATGAGTGCGACGGTCTACGATTGTTCTATGTTATGTTACTTATACGCCATTAATTATAAGTATGTTATAGTAAAATTGTCAAGATAAGGTAAGTGTACTTAATAAAATAACATTTCATGAAAATCAATTTAATAGTTTTTAAAATAAGTATAAGTACCTACTTATAATATAGATAATAATATAGATAGATTAACGTCCAATATAACAATATTTATTTTTACTCAATTCATAATTATTATATAAATCAAATAGTTAAATTGTAAGTGTATATTTTGGAGAGCGTTTTAATATACCTATATAATGGTACCTAGGTAATTTGGGTGATTAAAAAAAAGTAATGAAACTAGGGGCGGATCTAGAAATATGAAATGAGGGGGGGAGGCTAATTTGTATTTATAGAAAGACAAAATAAATAATTTTAGTAAATACATATATAGAGTGGCCCATAAAAATCTTTTATATTTTCGTTACACTGATTTCGGTTCGGGCAGGATGGAGGGGAATAACAAACGCGGTTTCAAGTAGCCAACAGTTACCAAATTGTGCTCCAGTAGTTGTTTTTCGTCATGGAGCAGTTATACCTGGGCAGCACGCTTTTATCGTAAAGACGTTTTACAAATAAGTCGTACGTTCGCACAATTCGCGCGTTTCGTAAACATTTTAAACTTGACGGAAAGAACGCTGTACCGTCCCAACCAACTGTGAAATGATGGGTAAAAAATTTCGAAAAAACCGCTTATGTCTGCAAAAAAAGACCCAGTGGCCGAAAAAGATCTGTAAGAACATCAGAAATGGTTGAGCGTGTAAGACAATCAGTTCAGATTAGTCCTGCCAAATAAACGCGAAAATGATCGTCAAATTTAAAAATTAAACGAACTTCTCTGCAGCGAATTTTATCCGGTGACCTCAATTTTCATCATTATAAAATTTCAAAATTTCAAAATTTCTGTAGCTGAATGACAAGTCCAACGACTTGTCATTCAGCTACAGAAACAATTTCGTTATTGCGTAAACATTTTCGTCGTCGAATCATTTTGCGCAACACCGACATTTTTTGGTCACCTCGATAACCTGCCTAATCGGTTTGTGATTATTTTTTATGGGATTACTTCAAGTAAAAAGTGTATACAGACAAGCAGAGGATTTTGGAACAACTTCGGATATTATTCGTGAATCGGGCCTGATTAGAAAAGTAATGCTCGCTAAAATGTTTGAACATATTAAAAAACATTTACTCGAATGTATCCAAAACGGCGGCATTCATCTCAGAGATATATTTTTTTAAAAATAACTTATAATTTAAAATCAAAT